CCCGGAGCCCTGGCGCCGAGGGAAGCCCGTGAGCGGCGGAATAGCAAGCGGCCCAGGAGCAACATTTTTCTGGGGTTGCTTGCCACCCCACAAGGCAGGGTGCAGGACAGCCAAAAGGGCAGAAATGGGGGGGAGATAGGCAGGTGGGGGGAGTTGAAGTGCCCCTGGGGTTGTAAGTGCAGGTGGGCTGCCAAGTGCCAAAATTTTCATCACATGACCACAGGGGCACTGCAGCAGCCGTAATTTCAAGGACCAGTCATAAATCCATTTTTTCCGCACTGTCATAACTTTGAACAGTTGCTGAACAAATGGTCATAAGTCAAGGGCTACCTGTATTAAACCAGGTCATTGCTTGCTCACCCATGGTTTATTGGCTGGGATCACACAAAAGACTAAGCTTTTGTAAGCTATAATTTACAACCACAAGGGCTAAATCTGTACAATGTGCAGGGCTAGAACAAATAAATGTCACTGTGACATGTGACCAGATCAGAAGATAATTTTCCCTCATTATGTTGCCTTGCTGCTCTTCTAAGATCAGCTGCTGTTGGAGAAATGTAGGAAGAGTGGATTGCCTGCTTTCTCTTTTATGGATAGCTCTATTTAGGCAGGTAGATTTCAAGTGAGGACTAGTGAGCAGCCTCTTCTATCTCTTAAGTTAAACTGTGATGTCATTAAATAGCAGTCAACCACTGGTATAAGTTAGTTGTCAGTGGTGGGAAACTGCACACATGAACACTTCCAGGTAAGCTAAAACTTGATCCTCACATTTCAAACCTACAGGAGCATATGTCACCTGACCAGGGTTAGTATCTTCATATAACATGGTTCACCATGGATAAAGTGCTTAGCCAGTGTTTTCCAGATGACATGACAAATGGCAGTTACCACTGTTTATCTTTCTTTTGGCCAAGAAACTCTGTTTTTGAACAAGAAGTAAGTGTGCAGTGATCTGATTGGGGTTGGGTTCACTATGTGCATTGTAGGAGAATATAAATCGCTTGTTTCCCCAGTTCACCTCTTGTGCAGTGGTTAAAAATACATTTAGTACAAAGGAGGTGCTGCTGCAAAAACTACTTCATTTTGCAGCTACTGCCAGCTATCCCTTGTCCAGAAGCAGGGAGTAAACTGTCTACTGGTTTGAACAGCATGCCAGGGCTGCAGCATATCAGGCAAGAACAAACCATAGTAGCAGGCTTTAGTTAAGGCACTCCATATTATTCACAATTTGTCTTGTGGGTAGTTGAGATGCCCACTAAATAAAAAAATATAGCTGCTACTTTGCCTTGTGTTTGGAACATTGACAAATACAGTTTTCCAGAATGCCTGGTAATATCAGCTGCTCCTAGAAAAGCATACCAGGTACTAAAGGGAGAAACCAAACAAAGGACAGACAAAGGATATACAGTAATATGTTGACGTCCGCCTTCTTGCTACAATGGTCACAGCATCCATTGCAGGAGTGAAGGAGAGAAAGACTTAGGAGGCCCTAAATTAACGTGTCTGAGAACTTTGTATACATAAGTGGGTGGGCTGCAACTCTTAGAAGTTACAGCAAAAAATATTTTCCCATATATCCTCTACCTTTATTGGCATTGACAGTCCTGGTTCAAACCACACTTGGGAGAATATCCTTCTCTCCAAAAATGTCTCTCCAATGTGTGCATTGATTCTTCATGCCTACCATTCTATTTAACTTTGCACCTCATCTCTATTTTGTTATATTAAGGAATAACAGTTGTTCTCATTCTTTCTGTGGGGAACAGTGCTTTTGCAGCAACTTTTGCTATAGAGCATCAAAATACTTCGCGGGCCAAATTTCCACAAGTCCAGTGTGGCTTCGAGAAGAAGAAAGGTACTTAGCTAATATTTCTTCCTCTGATTTCTTAGAAATTCAAAAGATCATGCACTATTTGTAAAGATTGTTTTGTCTAATCAAGGTATTGCCTCAATAGATACTTTAGGTTATTTTTTTCTTCCTGGCCAAGGTGGCTACTTCTGCTTTTTAATATTATGAATATTATAAAAATTTGATGTCCTGGACTGCTGGGTTCTGTAACTACTTCTTTAAGAGGCTCCTCTGTCCTCCACTCGTTACCTGTAGTAATGGCAC